ATATAATTAATTAAAATGATACTTTAGTGTTGGTATAATGAAACTAGTGCGTGTGAAAAATGAAATTAATGTCCAGAACCATATAATGACATGTATTGTCAAATGAACCAAAAATGTAATTAAAAAATAATACTTTAACATTACTATTGATGGCTATATGGGACTCCACGGGTCCATTTTATTGGGAAAGTGTTGGCTCAACCGCCCAAGTGGGGTATCCATCTTTATGGGTGAGGTGTTGGCCCAACAAGAATAATGGAATTCTATTGGGCTAAGGAAATAAGGAAGCTTGGAGCAAAATATTATTAAAATTATTACTAAGGGGTATCAAACCCACGACCTTAAACACAACAACACAAATCCCAAACCACCAAACTAATCAAGATCTTGTGTATTAAAGAACAGGAAGCTCCACTTATGCATGAGAGTGCGCTGGAAGCAAGGTAGTGTATGGACACGTGTGTGGTCCAGAATGAAGGCTGCCAGATGTCGTCCATTTGTCAACCATCCGTGAATCCCTCAACAATATAAATAAGCACCCTTCCCTTCCTTTTAAAGGCATCCCTTGACTCACCAAATCGCTCCCGATCCATTGCTCTAAGTTTTCAACCCCTGTTGGCACACCAGGGTTCGAATCCTATTGGTAACATATTTAGTTTTATTTTATTTATTAGTTCCCTTAACTTGTTTAGTTGTTATTTTGGGCCCCTATTCCATTCCTTGGGTCGTGATCTTTGTATTTGGGCCGTCATTTTGAGTCTGTGCCTCGGGTTTTGTACATACTATTTTGGGCCTAGCGCCTCGGGTAATAAAGCTATTCTTTGTCTATCCCCGTTCTATATTTATATATCCGGTTTATGGTGGACTCGGTCCTAATAAAAGTATAAAACAATCAACTATAATTAAACTAGTGTGCATAGAAAATAAAATTGAAAGATAGAACAATATTGTCCAATAAAATTAAAGTTGACATGAAAACCATTGTCAACAGTAAAATTTGCCAGAAACACATATACCAAAAATCTGTTGATAAGGTTGGCATGATAATATATGGTCCATATACAGTCAATACTGATTATCCGCGCAGTATATGGCCCATATACTCATCCATCGAAAGAAACAACGTAAAGAAGAAGAAATTGTGGGCGGGGCGAGGCGGAGGTGCAATCCGATAGATGACAGCTTGAATTGGTCTATCCCCGTGTGGCCGTGTGTACATCGCGTCGCCCACCAAGCCTCATTCATTTCACTTCTATTGTTGTAAATTCTTAATTCACGACAAAAATAAGCTAGGCGAATTGTACGTACTTTTTGCGTGATATTTTTCGATTCTACACTACACCCAATCATTTCTCCTTCCATCTAGACAATTAGGATTTAGGACCACACCAAAATATTATTTGCCCGGTTTGGTAAAATAGTTAGCATATTAATCAATTTTAACTTATTTAATCACTATTCGCTCCTTGACTTGGTTAAAAAATTAATATAAATGTTTGGCTATTCAATTTTTTGTAATTTTTAAAATATTAAAATTTAAAAAGTTGCTCAAAGTAACTTTTTCAATTAACTTTTTGAAAAAAAATTATACTAAACAATTATCAGCTTACAGCTAATTTACCAAACACATTTCTACAATTAGCTAATGTTATTAACTAATTATACCATCTAACTCAATTAACTAACAGTTATCAGCTAACCGCCATTTACCAAACAGGGTCATTGTCTAAGTATAAGTTTATATACACGCACTCCATGCATGTCGTGCGTGTCTGAGTTTATATATATTTATTATAAGTTTTTTTTTTTTTTTTTTTTTTTTTTTTTTTTTTTTTTTTTTTTCTTTTTTTGAGCGCAAACAGAAAATTCATTACTGATCAGAATAAGTGCGAAATACAATCCGGTGGGACACTAGTCCAGACCCCTGAGACAGCCCTAGAAACGGTTGCCCGAGCAAGCTCATGAGCCACACGATTCACTGATCTCTTGATATGGGATACACTTACATTCCCAATATCCATAGCAATCGACTTACATTGCTTCACTATTAACCCAACATAAGAAAAATCAGAAAAACAAGAATTGAAAGCGGTACAAAAATTTAAACAATCAGACTCTACCATAACATTACTAAAAGCCTGTGACTTAATCCAAGTTAATGCCTCCTTAACTCCTAGAACTTCTGCCATGAACGGATCCTCCTCGCCTAATAGCCTGTTACACTTCGCTGCGATAAACGTCCCTTCATGATTACGAAGCACAAAGCCATAGCCAGCCCCTTCCCTAGAAACCGTGGCGTCCACATTACACTTGATGAAGTTAGAAGGTGGTGGACTCCAGTCAGCCAACGCAGCCTCATTGACACGATCTTGGTTTCGATTTGTATAGACTTCCTTCCAATCGGTCTGTAGCTTATTCAACTGCTCACTCGCCCAGTCCAAAGATGGTAATTTACCACGCCAAACCATGTCGTTCCGGGCTGTCCATATTATCCAGAACACTGCTGCCATCTTCGTAACATGCATCGCATCATTTAAACCAAACCAATCCTCCATGAACCTTGCCAAACTACGACCTTGTCGTACGTCCGAACTGCCCCATAGCTTCTGTGCCAACTCACAATCGAAGAACAGATGCTCAGATGACTCCATATTGAAACCACAAATTGTGCATCCTCCCCCAATCCACACCCTCCTGGAATGTAAGTTCTCCCGAACTGGGATAATGCCGCGAGCACACCGCCACAATAAATTTTTTACCTTCGGAGGTATCGGCTGTGCCCATAATTTTTTCCAAGATTGGAAAGTGCCCATATTCACGTTCCAGGCTGAGTCCTTCGTCAATAAATGATAGCCCTGCTTAACAGTGTAGCAACCACGAATATCCCCTACCCATCTCCAAGAGTCACGGAGATGAACATTCAGAGGGGTAGCCAGAATCTTAGGTACATCCTCGGGAAGGAAAATGTCCCGTAAAACCTCTTCATCCCATCGACCCTGCCCATCATGCAAACCTTGTACTGTCGCCAACCGAAGATGATCGGCCCCCGGAGTGGCTAAACTAACATCCGGATTAGATGCTAACCAATGCCATCCCCATATCCTCGTAGCGCATCCGTCTCCAATGCGTCTTGCTAGCCCCATTCGTAACACATCCCTTCCAGCTAGAATACTTCTCCATAAGTAACTCGGATTCCCACCTGGTTGAGCCTCCATAAAATCTGTCCTGGGAAAATATTTGGCTTTCATAATTTGACTCACCAATGAATCTGGATATATCAAAATTCGCCAGCCTTGCTTGGCCAACAGGGCCATATTAAAAGCATGTAATTTTTTAAAACCCAGACCCCCTTTTGCCTTTGACATACACATCTTGTCCCAACTCAACCAATGAATACCACGGTTACCCCCGCCCCCTCCACCCCACCAAAACCGATTAAGCATTTTTTCAATAGTATCACAAATTCGCAACGGAAGCATAAAAACTGACATTGTAAAAATTGGCAGTGAAAGCGCAATGCTTTTCAAAAGGACCTCTTTACCTGCACGAGACATCAATCTATTTTGCCAGGCTCCAATTCTCTTTCGAATATTCCCTTCGATATACTTAAAAACCTCCGATTTGTTGCGGCCCAAAACCGAAGGCAGCCCCAAATACCGACCCAAATCCGCCGCTTCTGGAACACCAATGAGAGCCGAGACCTGGTCCCTGACTATTGATGGTGTATTATGACTATAAACAGCCGACGATTTGTCAAAATTTATAAGTTGGCCCGAGGCCAAACTGTAAATCTCTAGGCATTCCTTAATTTTTGTTGCTTCCCGTTCGTCGGCCCTGAAAAAAAGCAAGCTATCGTCAGCGAAAAAAAGGTGCGTGATGGCCGGTGCACCCCGCGCCACCCTTACACCATGTATATCGCCCCGAGCTTCAGCCTGCTGTAGAAGGATAGACAAGCCTTCGGCACAGATAATAAACAGGTACGGTGATAAAGGGTCCCCCTGGCGGATACCCCGAGTAGGCCGTACTTGACCCGCTATCTCCCCATTTACTAAGATTGAGTAATTCACCGAGGTGACACACAATATTAGCATAGCCACACAATTTCCCGGGAAACCCATTGCGTTTAACATGCCTTCCAAAAATGGCCATTCCATCCTGTCGTACGCTTTAGCCATATCTAGCTTAAGCGCCGCCCACCCCTTATTTCCCCCGGTTTTCCGCCGTAGGAAGTGACCCACCTCCCCGGCTACGATAATGTTATCCGTGAGCAACCGGTCAGGGACAAAGGCGCTTTGCGACAAGGATACTACATGAGACAAACACGTCTTCAATCTATTAGCCAACATTTTGGCTAATATTTTATAAATCACCTTACACAACGCAATAGGGCGTAGGTCCGAGACTTTTTCGGGTACAGGCTTCTTAGGGATTAAAACGATATTTGACTCGTTAAATCCTGGTGGGAATTGTCTGCATTCCACACATTTAATAACGAACACAGATAGATCGTGCCCAATTACCGGCTAGAAGTGTTGAAAAAAAGCCGGCGACAAACCGTCCGGGCCGGGGGCCTTTTCGGGTTGCATGGCAAATAAAGTCATTTTAACGTCAGCTATAGTAAACGGACTAGATAATGCAGATTGCATCTCTGCCGTCACTTTTCCCCGGACTCGACGAAAAAAATCAGCACTACATGTGCCTGAGCAGAAAATGTTTTCGAAATACCTGATAACTTCCGAATTCAAAGCCGCGCCTCCCACCCACTCGTCACGATGGTTTTTGATCCGGGACAATTGATTGTGTCGCCGGCGAGCCGTAGCCATTTTGTGGAAATACTTAGTGTTTGCATCCCCGTGCTTTAGCCAAAGCTGTTTTGAGCGTTGACGCCAGAAAACTTCTTCAGCTTTCAAAATTGTATCCAGCTCTTGTTCGGCTGACATAAACATAGCAACGACATTAGGCGACCGATTCTCTCTCAGTTGATCGAGAGTTCGCCTGAGCTAATTACTTCGGGCCCCGAAGGTCCGATGGTATTCCCCGCCCCATTTCCGGAGTCGCTCGCCGCATAGAGCTAAACGATCCTGGAAAGGCTGCCCTGTAGACATACGCCATGCTTCTCCAACCACACGCATACAGCCTGCCTCCAACATCCAGGCCGACTCAAATCTAAATTTCCGGTTCGCAACGCGTGTAGGCCCATAATTTAAATCCACAAACAGAGCACAATGATCGGAGTTGTGAGCATACAAGTTCCGCACCACAACTTCTTCATGTAATTCCATCCAGTCCAAAGTCGCCACCGCCCTATCCAACCTCTCCTCTACCCATGCATCAGTACCCCTCCCCTTCACCCATGTATAACGACCTCCTACCATACCCAGGTCTACCAATCCACAGTCTTCCAGGGCGTCGTTAAAACCCTCAATTAGTGCTGATGGATGCGGGTGTACTCCCCTTTTCTCCGCTAGACTAGCAATATCATTAAAATCCCCGACAACAACCCACGGAGCTTGAGAGTCCTCCTTAAGTTGTCGCAGTAGATTCCAAGTGATATGCCGTCGACTTCTATCAAACTCCCCATAGAACCCCGTCATTCTCCACCCTGAGCGGCCTGGAAGAGTTATGTCCATGTCAATATGATTGTTGGAATAACTCCTCAGTGACGCCGTATCCTTATCCCTCCACAAAAAAGCCAGCCCCCCACCAATCCCTATCCGTTCCACACAAACTTTCCCCTCAAAACCCAATTTAATACGAACCTCCTCCACTTTCGATTCCGTAGCTTTTGTCTCCATTAAGAAGACAAATTGGGGATGCTGCTTGGACACAAAGCCCAAGAGCTCACGAACTGACCGGGTGCCCCCCAAACCCCGGCAGTTCCAGCTTAACAGACTCATCGTTCCCGGCGAGCCTGGTCCACCAGACCCGCCAATCTATCAGCGTGTACTTTCTCGGTCATCCGCACATCTGTTTCGGATGTTCCACCAGCTTTCTCACAATCCTCCCTCCTTCGCTTCAGATCGCCCTGCAACCCCGTCACCTCCTCCATCGCCACTAGAAGCGCCGGTGACGAGATGGATGATCGGTTTGTCGGCTCTGTCTCACTAGTTTCGGCAGTTGTCGGCATGGATGGTGCTAATAGCCACTTTGCCCCAATTGGTCACACCTGCCTTTTGGGACCTGCGCGTAACCAAGCCCCGAACGGAAACTCATCCGGTAGAATGCCATTCTCATATGCCGTCTTGCAAAATTTATCCGAATGGCCTAGTAATCCGCAGCAGTAACAAAATGTACTGAGGCATTCGTATTTAAATGTTATCCAACTCGTAATCCCATCGCGATGAATCAGCTTCATCCGTCTCTTAATCGGTGATGAAACTGCCAATCGGACCCGTATTCTGTAAAAACTCTTCCATGATCCTCCGAAATTAAAAGGATCAGCCGCGATGAAGGACCCAATATACTCCCCAATTTTAGCGATGAAATCAGGCGAGGCGTACATTGTCGGTAATCCGTGTATTTGAACCCAGAATGGAACAGAGTCTAGAAGAACCTCTTCTGGTTGGAGTCCTGCCGGAACCTGCTTGCAAATCAGATGATGGTTTTCGAAGGACCAAGGTCCATCATCCAGTACCCTTTGCAAATCTCTCGGGTGAGGAAACTGGAATAAGAACAAGTCATCCGCCAAAGAGAAAGCGTACATCCCCATCACCGGGCGCCACACCGCTGCGAGGACATGCTGCATATGTTCGAACCGTATCGGTCGGTCCGTAAGAAGCCGTCCGACGAGGTTGTTCTGGATCGACATATCCGGGATCGCTTGCGCCACCGGAGCCTCGAGCCCGCTACCATCTTCCTCGGCGATTGCCAGATCAGCACATCGTCGTTCTAATTGCCGGATATCCATGCGAGGATGCAGAATGTGATTGGGTTGCCAAGGATGCAGATCGTGTTTCAATCGCCACGAATGCAGATCGTGTTTGAATTGCCCAGAACGCCGATCGAGAATGAATTGCCAAGAACGCAGATCGTGGTTGAATTGCCACAAATGCAGATCGTAATGCAATTTCCACAACAGGAACAAATATGTGAAGAATGTGGTTGTAATTATTGCCATCAGAAATCCCAGATATATAAAAGCCCTAGAACTCCTAGGGAGATCGCTCTCTCAGCCACGACCGAGAGAGATGTCCACGATCGGAAAAGGGATCGGAAGCACGATCAGGAAGACGACGACTATTGCGGAGCATTTTTCATTGATAAGTCAGTCATATTTATTATAAGTTTAGTTCTACTCCATATTAGTTTTTTAATATATATGTAATTAATTAAGTATTATAACTATTTTTATTAAATTACTAGTTATTGGTATATATGCACAATAAAGTGTCAAATGATATAAATAATGGTAAAATTATTTAATTAAAATAAATATAAAAAACATATTACATATAAAAATAAATAAATATAAAATGAAAATAATATGTAAGTGTACAATAAAGTAAGTGCAATGTATAATTTTATATTGAAAACAAGTACAATGTGTTAAGAAACCATCGGAAAAGCAGCGATCAACAAGAAGAATACACAAAGGAAAATAGAGAAGGCAGGAGCATCATCTTATTTATCAGGAAAAAGGATAAGTCATTCAACCCTTCTCATTATATCCTTATACATCATATATATAATCTATACAAATTGACTGTTACAACAATTGCAAATCAAGTAATCAATGCCATAATAATGTCCATAAATAAAAATTTATAACACTCTCCCTTGAATATTATTTGTCCACGACTTTGCCTCGTTAAAAACTGCTATGAAAATCCTGTGGGAAAAACCTAGACAAGAGAGTACAATAGAAAATATATCCATGCCTCATTAAAAATTTCACTAGGAAAACCACGTGGGAAAAACCTAGTTGAAGAAAAGAGTACATGATATATATAAAACATATATTTTATTGGTCGCCTCATTAAAAACCTTAACTTAAGAAAACCCTGTGGGAAAAACTTAGTTAAGGAAAAAAGAGTACAACCATAAGCCTTCAGGGCACAATCTGCATAATCTTCAGGATTTTAAAGTTTGTCCATTTAAACAATTATTTTGCAACGAACTTTTCCCCATTGTCATTACTATATCATATCATGCCTCGTTAAAAACCTCATTAGAAAAACCCGGTGGGAAAAATTAGTTGAGGAAAAGAGTGGATGATGTATGTGTCGTCAGTCATCAATCTTCAGGATTGATTCAATTAAAATTATCCTCCCCCTCAAGATAAAAATTTTGATGTCCTATACATTAAATTTCCAAAATGTATAGAGGAATTTTGTAAATAAATATGTACAATTGTCAATGCAACGAATATACTTTATAATAATCTTGTGACTCTTCTGGAGCTCACGTGGGTATAAGATTGACACCATAATATCTTAGTCAAAAGATTTCATATTATTTTATCATATGAGCGACACAATCTTTATTGTCCTTTTACAGAACAATGGAGGTAAATATAGTACAACCAGTTTTGGGACTTGGCATTATGGTGATACAAAAATAATAGCCAGTACCCAAGTAGCCCATTATATATTGATTTGTATAAGTATCTAATCAAAATCAATTATTGGTTAACTGGTGTATAAAAAAAAATCTTCAAGGATAACTCGATCTTCAAGTCGAGATAATACTTATAGCTTTCACAAGCCTTTTATTTCAAAAATCTCAGTCTTTAAACATGAACTGACATCATCAAGCTCTTTATATATTTCATTGATGTTTACACCATCAATATTGACTGAGATAATAAATAAGTCAATTATCAACTCTTTCTTGAGCACATAATGGTACATATTATTCCTTCTATATGAGGATAATAATCCCATTCGCAACTCTTTAAAGATTAAATAATGACACATAATAATACTTAAATAAATCCTCATTTCAGGAATTATAAATCCATCAGGGATTTCTCAATAAATTTAACTGCATATCTAAATTTATTATTCTGCCAATTGTATTATATAGCAAAACTTAATGCCATTTACCGTGGGAGAGTATATTTGATTAAAATCAATTAAGGGTCTCTGCATGAACCCATAGGCTACAAACTCGCTTAAGATCTTATCACCTCGTTATTCTTATTTCTCTTTCATGCACACACCCATTGGTAACCTTTAGGGTTAACGCTCAACGGTGTATTGTTATAAAGAGAATTTATTCATTTTAACGAGTAGAGCTATGCCTTAATTGCTCCTTTATACGTTAAATAGTCATGACACTTTTGGTGCCTAACTCTGGATCCAGATTATCATATAACGAGCAATTTGTAATGGCAATTGTGTTGTCGACAACTATAACCTTTTTACAAATTTCTCCCATATATTTGTAAAAGTAATGGCAATTTCTAAAACAACCAGATTCTAGATATTTTCCAAAGATATTTTGATCTGGTCGTTTCACATCCCTAGTATTACGTTTGTTTGGTGCACCTATAAATTTTACTAGGGTTTTTCGTCATCTGGACGAACGTCTGCAGGACATAATGGTTCAATGCTATTTCAAGAGTGACAAAGTTTCTTTACTAGATCTAGTATTATGATTCATATTTCTTTCACCGATTGATCTCTTACACTTCTAGTGCCAAGGAGTATCGGTAGATATATTTGGTCCAAGTTGGGAAAGTATATGGGACCTAATCACTCTTTTGTGATCGGTATGATCAATAGATTATTTGGCAGATTATTATTTGTTAATATCGCAAATAGATTATCTTTTGAACTTCTAGTTCAGACTAACTAGTACGTGGATTTAAATAACTAATGTAGATCTTTTCATTCCACGAAAATTCTCAGCATTTCATTAAATTCGAGCTCATTATCTCCCCCTAATGCCGTGAGCCGATCTTCATAAAGTGTGCAGTCAGTGTACCTTAACTTAATACTTATTGATCCCTTATCGTGGGCTCTAGGTATTGATCGAGGTAACCAACAGAGGTGTATAATCAAGAGATATACCTTTTATAGCCCCTAGCAGTACGCTATGGCGGTGACATGTGAAAAATAGACTGCACGCTAAAATAATAACGTAGATAGGGAAAAGTCTATTTTGAACCACGTACTAGGTGTAGGGGGATAATTTTGATATGCAGTGAGTCAGATTTGTATTCAATACAGAAGTATATCATGTTCAATATCCCCAAAAATAGATAATGTAATAAAATATCTGACATATTTATAAAATATCTGACTCATAATGTTTTTCCAATAGATGTATAGATGGTGAGACCATTCAGGATTTCTAAAATCTATTATCTCAACTTATGAAAGTTCATCAGCATCAAACATTGACAACATGTTGCTTCAGGCCAACTAACATGATGTGACTCACTTCTAATTACATCGTGACTAGAAATTTACAGACTTCATTCATGGGTCATGGGTCATGGGTCACGAGTCATTACTCACCCAAATATTAAACCCTATTCAAGGTATTCCAGTCAACAACGTATAAAGTGTATTTCCGCTAAAACTAGGTATTTAATAGCCCTTTCGAAACTCAAAATGCTTAGTATAGTTTCGTCATGTACCGCTACTGGAGTACAAGATGACTACATTAGAGTACAAGGCGACTAGCCCATAAGGGATGATTAGAACAACTACTTAGTTCAATATTGTTGCACTGCTCATATATCGAAGCGGGTTTAACATCTTTGTTGATCGTATCAATCTTTCGGGGATTAGCATAAGATCCGTGAATCATTTTCGATCAAATGTTCACTATCGAATTTTGGTCTAAAAATCAGGGTGACATAAGAAAGATTGGTGCTCTTAGTTTACCGTTTAGACATGAATTATATCCAAAAGTTATGCACTATCATTTTGTTTCAATACTAAATATTGAGATCTTTAATGTTAATAGACTCATGACTAATAATGATTGTTATAACCAAGAGCCAAAAGAAGTATAAATAGTGAGACCATTCAGGATCTCTAAAATCATGTTCTCAACTTATGAGAAGTCATCACTATCAAATATTATACAACTAATTTGCTTCAGGCAAATTACCATGACGTAATTTATTTCCAGCTTTCAAACACATAGCATTTTAAATAACTATATCATGATCACTTTGTGACATGATCATAAAATATTTTGGATTGAATAACATAGCACTAAAGATAGAAATTTAAGACTTTTCACAAGTCAAAATTCTTGATGGATTTATAAATAGCATTGTTATGTATTTCTACTAGAGTACAACCGATTCATGTACCATCCGAAAGGTACCATCTGGGAAGTAAACCTGTCCAGAAAAGTAAACATAGAGAATTAAACTTCAAGAAGTAAATTCTGAATTGTCAAATGACCCATGAGAATTAACTACTCAGGTCACGCATTCTATGCATTAATGGATTGCAATAATTTATTGATCGTAGGCTCCTAGCGATCCTTCAGGGATTAACTTAGGTTCTATGAATTTTTTTGATCAATTATTAGTAACCAAAGGTTTTAGATCAAAAAGGTGACAAATAAAAATTAGTGCTCTTAGTGTTCACCTTCTGGGAAAAAATAAAATAAAATAAAATAAAAGATTAGGCACTATCATCTTGTTTAAATACTCAAATTTGAGATTTATTTCAATGTCGAAGACTCATGTGAAACAATGCTATAATAAATTAGCACAATCAATAAACTTGAATTTGGACAAATAACAATTAACTTTTAAATCAATACCAAGTCAATTTTACATTTGGAGAATTTGTCCTAGTGCTATTATCATATAATTAGTGCTATAAATTTGTTGCCTTCTGGGCAAAATTATATTCAATATTCATGCTATATATATCACAATATTTAGGCTCACTCATATCATCTAATTGATATCACAAGAGCAAATTAAGATTAGCAACGAGAGGTGCAACCTAATAAAAATCATGTTGAGAATTCATGCTATTGTGATAAATCTCAACAATGATAAGCCTATAGCAAATGATTAATTACTAACAAAGAGAAACAACAAATTCTCTTATATATGAGCCTAATCAAGATATTATATGTGGAAAATTGTTAAATAAGGAGAAGCATATACAATATGTGATATAATTGTCCCTTATGTTTTGGACACCAAAAACTCAGTTAAAGAGAACAACTGGACACAACCACGAGTTCGACTTGTTGTCGAAGGATAACACGAGCTCACGCAATGACATATGTCACAACACATAGCTAATATGCATAATAGTAATACAACACCACTACTAAAACAAATCAAATCCAGGTAGTGTGGTTATAAGATAAGTAGCAATACTGGGGAGCAATAATCAGGCATAAGACTCACAAATATGCCATGCAATTAACTTGATGTGTGATAGCCACTGAAATTAAGTTTACTATCAATAATCCTTATTAGGGCATATCCTTTCAACAAGAGCATATTAAAGGCATTTCTATTTTCTATAGCCACATGAAGCTCCTTTAAGTAACTAAGCAAAGCTCATAATACATACCTTGTTCCTGGACATTAGTCCTACTCTTCACAGCACTATTATTCCTTATCTTATTCCTTTAAGATGGACTCTATTCAAGAATTAGGATTCACTGTATGCCTACTCACATAATTGGCATTCACAGTATTTTCCTCAAAAAACATAGCAGTATTCAGATTATATACACAAAGCTATTATTCAAATTTTGCATTTTGGGGGTTGGGAGTTATCAAAGCCAATAATCTGACCTTTAATAACGCTATTACGAAGATTCCGGGAATAAATGAATAGAGCTCCAGCAACCTCAGTGCACAGGAGAGCAGTTACGACGGAGGAACAACCTCTTCAGTATCCTAGCATTAAACTTGTTCTCTGTTCTCCACACCAGAAATCAATAGACCATAATAGTGTAATACTACTGGGCATGCTCGTCTTGGCCATGCGAACTATTTTTCTTGGGTTTCGCGAGATCTCTGCTGCTCTAAAGGCTTTGGGTTAGGGATCGTAGATGGATGCTATGAAGATGGTGGGTCGGCGGCCTTGGGTGTACCGACTCTGACGCCGACGAGCGGCTAACCTGCGATCCTGTTCGAGTGCAGCCTCTATCCGATTCAATCGACGCCATCCGATTCTCCCAGGAGGCAATCAGATGTGTACTGGCCGGCGAACCTCTACCAAGGTCATCGGAGGCCTTCGTCCGGCCTTCCCATAGTGATAGCCCTCAACAGATGGATGATCGCTCAAACATGAGTGCAAGATATATTAAATATAATATAATATATCTATAATATATATTAAATATAATATATCTATATATTATATTTATATATATTGAGAAGAGAGAGAGGAATAAATAAGTAATTCCATTGATGATTCAAATGATTGAATACATAGCCTATTTATAGTAAAATAATAAAGCTAGAAAATAGGAAAATAATGCTCCACTTCTGCATTCCATTTTCACGTATTGCTCCATGTTGCCACTGATAGGTAAATATCCATACCTCGGTCGGGATCCGATTGGCGACCGACCAATTGCTAGAGGTTAAGACTCGACTCGGTGCTTTGGAGAGCCTTTCGACCACCCTTGCGCTCCGATCGTCCTCCCGAGCGAGTATTCAACCTATTGCTTACCCTTTGCAGATTAAGCGTTCTTTCTCTCTGTCATAGACACGTGTCATTGCGAGAAAACGACAAGGAAGCAGTCCTCCGTAAGGACACGTATAAGATGCGTGGCTGGCATGCCGAGTAATGGGTTTTGAGTTTTCTCCACGCACTTATAAATACCAGCTGGGGGATAAGGAAAAGGGACTTTTGGACAAATGGCAAGGAGATTATAGAGAGGATCCCGGTCAATAGATAGGGTATTGTCATATTCAGTCTCCCGGTCCAACTGTACATTAGTGTCGGTCGTTACCTGTATTAGTACTATCATTTTGCCGCCGTCCGTGGGGGTCCGGTACAACAAGTCATGAGTGACGCAGTACGATCTCTTTCCATGTATCCATTCATGTACAACCAAGAAGAAGAGGAGATCAGTTCCCCTGAACATCATACGCTTCGAGGACAACCTGTCGATCTCAACCTTTCTCCTGGTCGACAAACCACGACCGACCCGATCGCCTACATCCAACATGCATCGCAACCCTCTGCACAACCATATCCGCAGTACGGATACCCGCCATCAATCCAAGGTCCGCCCTATGGATTTTGGCTGGGTACTCCTTTCTATTACCCTCCCGGCGCATATGCACAACCCACATGTATCTTTCCACCACCCACATACGCCCCTGCGCACACAATTCCCGGTCAAGCCCCTCCAAATTCAGCAGGTTCACAGAGTGAGCCAGAGCAGCAGCCCGTTCACCAGACCCGCCGCTCAGCTCGCTCGAGGTTGGGTTCGCGGGGTCCTCTAGAAGATAGGCAGCAACAACTGGGATTTCAAATGCCAGGAGGAGAAGGCGTAGAGCCACCAATACCGAGAGCTAGTGCCTCCGAGAGGCTCAGACCGGCGATGCACCAACGCTTGGGCCCTCAGGATGACGATCGTAGGTCGGTCGATTCGCCAATGCGAACTGCTAGTCGTGGAGATTCATCAAAAATCAGCACTTCGCATGCTCCGAGACGGCGTAGAGTCCGAGAAGGCATGCGGAACACGGTTCAAAGTGAAGCAAAGGGATTGTTGGATCAGGTACGACAAGAGTTTAATCAGTGGCAGCAAGAGCATGGTTCGAGCCTAGTCGAGCCTGTTACCCCCCTATTACGCACGCCATTTACGCCCGAGATCATGGCCCAACCGTACCCTCATGATTTACGCATCTAGGCACTAAGGAATACGATGGAAAAACGGATTCGGAAGTCCATGTAATTCCTATTACGGAAATATGTTGATGATGGGAGTAACAGACGCTGTCATGTGCCGGGCATTTTACTCAACCCTCGCCGGTAAGGTTGCAGAGTGGTTCAAATCGCTAGAACCCGGGTCTATTACATGTTTTGCCAGCACTGCGACCAAATTTGTTAGAAGGTTTGCCACTTCTAAAGCCTTTTGGAAGCATTTTATGTACTTGGATAAGGCTAAACAGTTGGAGGGTGAAACTTTATCAGATTTTTTGATCAAGTGGAATACTGCTATTGGAGAAGTAGAACCTATGGATGACCTCATAGCTATTCATATGTTGCATCCTTCATTACGCGCTGGAGCTCTATACCAAGATTTTATTCTACATCCGCCGTCGACTTATGAAGAGGCGATCTGCCGAGTGGCCAGCTATGCTAGTGTCGGGGAAGCGAATGCTGCTAAACGATTGCAGGAGGTTGGACCTAGCCATAAATCATCCGGTCGGTCGGACAATCGATCGACTGAGCAGTCGGGCCGTGGTCCGAACCGGCATATGGAGTTCACTCCTTTGAATCGCTCGGCTGTTGAGGCCCTCAAGTACGCCCAATCTTGCAATTTAATTCGACTCCCCGAGCCGTCTAGAGATGGCCACGATAAGTCTAAACATTGTGCGTATCATCGGTCCAAGGGACATGACACCGGAAAGCGCTCCACCCTCAAGCAATTGCTCGAGGATTTATTACAGGCCAGGAAGTTGGACCGGTTGATCGAGAAGAAGGATGATGATAGGCGTTTCGCTTGGAAAAGGTCATCTAAAAAGTCTGACTCATCAACAAAAGGTAAAGCTTCTGATCATGACCCTCCTCCGCCATCAAAGCAGGTAATTCATGTCATCTTTGGCTGAATGGAAGATAGTCAGCTGAGAGAAAGATTGCCGGTCAGGATAGTGGAGTCTCGTGAGACATGCAAAAGAAAAAAGACAGAACCGATTACGTTCACATTAGAGGACCGGCCTGAGAGCATGGATCAGGGAATTGAAGCTTTGGTTGTTATGGTAGACATAATGGGGGTTGACGTTCAAAGAGTCATGATCGATACGGGTAGCAGTGTGAACATCTTGTATTTGGACGTCTTTCATAAACTAAAACTTGACTCGCTCGAGCTAACCCCAATTGCGACTCCTTTATATGGTTTTATTGGGGACACCATCCACCCAGAAGGCAAAATAAGCTTGCCGGTAGAACTGGGCACCCCGCTCCGGTCGGTCAAGACGATGATGGAATTCGTAGTGGTTAACCTTCGGTGTGTTCACAATTCGATTCTTGGGCGTCTGGCCATCATGAGAATTGGTGGTATTATTTCAATGCCTCATTTATGCATGAAGTTTTCCACCCCGATCGGGGTTGGAGTTGTACGAGGCGATCTGCAGGCTGCTCGAAAATGTTACTCGCGTGCGGTTAATCGACGAGATGCAGGTTCATCCCGGGTTAACACCATTGTGAAAGACGTGAACGTGCTACGTAAGGAGCAACCTGAACCTTCTGAGGAAGTTGAAGAAGTTTCACTTTTTGATGATCGAACAAATAGGAAAATTAAAATTGGAAAGTCTTTGTCCCCGGAATTACGCGATGACATACTACGTGTCCTGCGAGAATTTGCGGACATTTTTGCATGGGGACCTCAAGATATGCCAGGGATCAATCGATCGGTAATTTGTCACCGGTTGGTAGTTAATCCAGACATAAAACTAGTCAAACAAAAGACTCGGCATCTTTCATCTGATTGTCGGGAATTTGTGCGGGAAGAAGTAAAGAAGATGGCAGCGATTGACCATATCCGACCGGTAATTTATCCAGATTGGGTCGCGAATATAGTCTTGGTCCCCAAACCCCTATCATGGCGGATGTGTATCGACTTTACAGACCTAAATAAGGCGTGCCCTTTGGATCCGTATCCCTTACCAAGCATACATCAAATGGTCGATGAAACCGCAGGAGCCGAGTTGATGAGTTTTATGAATGCAGTTAAGGGTTATCACCAAGTCATGATGGCCCAATAAGATGAAAGCAAAACCTCTTTTGTTACTCTGGATGGATTATATTGTTATCGGGTCATGCCGTTCGGTTTGCGAAATGCTGGAGTAACCTATCAGCGGATGGTCAACACCCTGTTTGAAAAGTTGTTAGGTCATACTATGGAAGCTTACATCGATGATATGTTGGTAAAGAGTCGAAGCCGATCGGATCACACTCGATACCTCCGACAATGTTTTGAGATCAAGCGAACATATCGATTGCATTTAAACCCAAACAAGTGTACATTTTCCGTTCAAACGGGAAAATTCTTGGGGTTTATGATGACCAAGCGAGGTATCGAGCCAAACCCTACGAAGGTTAAGGCGATACTCGATATGCAACTACCCTCTACCGTTCGGGAAGTTCAGCAATTCCTTTCCAAATTAGCCGAGCGTGCTTTACCTTTCTTCAAAGTTTTGCAAAAGGCTACCGGTTTCATGTGGGATGATGAATGTCACACGGTGTTTAATCAGTTGAAGGAATATCTTATGTCACCAATTGTCCTTGTTAAGCCTGAGCCTGGGGAAGATTTGAAAGTATATCTAGCAGTAGCAGTCAGCAATATGTTATGTCGAATGGATTCAGAAGGCTTGCAGAGACCGTTATATTACGTTAGCCACGTTCTACAAGGACCAGAGCTCCGTTACTCGAGGGTGGAAAAAGCCGTTTCGCGCTTTACACAGCGGCCAAAAAATTGGCCCCATATTTCCAGGGCAGAAGGATCCGAGTTCTGACCGTTTAGCCAATCGGCGTAGTGTTACGAATGGCGTCTTCCTCCGGGCGATTAGTCAAATGGGCCCTGATGTTGACTCAATTCGCTATTGACTACAAGCAGCGCCTAGCAATTAAGGGGCAAGCATTGGCTGATTTTGTCGTTGAGTGTACTGCTCGAGACTCTCGACTGCAAGTTCATGAAGATTGCGATGCGGCCTGGTGGGAAGTTGCCACTGATGGCTCTAGTGGCAAAAAAGGTTCCGGTGGAGGAGTAGTCGTCACAAGTCCCGAGGGGTTCAAGATGTATTATGCGTTGATATATCATTTTAGCCCGAAAAATAATGAGGCCAAATATGAAGCTTTTATAGCGGGCTTGCAACATGCTCGAGATTTTGGGGCCAACTATGTTCGCATTCAAATAGATTCGTTGTTGGTTGTCAGGCAGGTGTTGGGAGATTTTGAGATAAATGGTGATCAGTTGTACCAATACCGGAATCTAGCTCTCGAAAAGTTAAGTGTGATGCAAGTATATTATCTAAGCTGATTCAAGAAGCACTAGAGCACATTTCTCGAATTGCTCAAGTTTTAGTAATTCTAGCACCGAGCATCATGACCTCGATCGTTGCACCGATAGATGCGTCTGTTGATGACTGGATAACGGACATTATGACATACCTCCAGGAAGATCGCTTGCCGAATGATCCCGACCGTGCGCAGAAAACTAAGCTCCGAGCTCCAAGGTTCTAGATAATGCAAGGTCAGTTATACCGGCGGTCGTATGGGGGACCCTTGATGCGATGTTTGAATGATTTTGAAGCAAACATAGTGATGAGTGAATTGCACTCGGGTTTATGTTTATCACATTAAGGGGGCGATCTTTGGTGCGCCGTATCATGGTTATGGGTTATTATTGGCCCTCCATTCAACTTGATTGCGAAAAGCTTACCAAAGGTTGCGAGAGTTGTCAAATATTTGCTGATTTTGCTCAGATGTCGGGCCGCCCAGCTACATATTATCAACCGGTCAGCATTGCGATCCCATTCGCACGATAGGGTGTTGATATTGTTGGCCCATTTTTGCAACTTTCAGGTCGTAGACGATTCATCATAGTGGCCGTTGATTATTTTTCAAAGTAGATCGAGGCTTAGCCGCTATAGCCACGATAACTTCGCAGCAATGTGTCCGTTTTTTGTGGCGTAATGTAGTCTCGCGTTTTGGCGTCCCTGTCCAGCTCGTCACAGACAATGGTCAACAATTTGAAGGTCAATACTTCAAAAATTTCATGGCCACTATTGGTACGACCGCAATCCGATCGTCGGTAGCTTATCTCCAAGGGAATGGGCAGGTTGAGAATGCTAACCGGACGATTTTGGAAGGTTTGAAGAAAAGGTTGCACTCAGCTAGTCGAAGTTGGGCGGAAGAATTGCCTTTTGTACTCTGGACATATCGAACAACCCCACGCGGGGCAACAAAAGAAACCCCATTTTCGCTTGTTTACGGGGCCAAGGCTCGATTGCCACTAGAGGCCTGGATTCCAACTTCGAGGGAGTGTACATATGATCCAGAGGAAAATGAGCGTTTGATGGCCTTAGATTTAGATAGCCTTGAGGAGAAAAGGGTGTTAGTTGCTCGACGAGGGGTCGAATAAATAAGGTCAAAGCTACCAGAGACATACAAGTTCGACCTCGATACTTTCAAGTAGGGGATTATGTCTTATGCCAACGAGAAGCCAGCCAACTGTCAGAAGGGGGAAAGCTGGCACAAAGTTGGGAAGGACCTTATGTCATATCACATATTGTTCGTCCAGGTACATATCGGTTGGAGACGACCACTGGAAGACCAATCGAGCGCACTTGGAATTCTGATAATTTAGTTCTGTTTAGGCACTAATGTTAGTCCATGTTGTTAATAGGGGCAGATTTTGGCTTGTATGCTTTACATTGCTCGGTTGACAATGTAATTTTATGTCACTTATGTATAATATGTAATATGTGGTCTTTTTATGTCGTTACTGAGGGGTGAATGCTGTACGCCTCGAGAAGATACTGGCTAACTAGAAGATGCATGATCAACCCGGTTAAACTGCCGATGAGGGTCCTTACCCAACGACCATAATGTCGCTTAAACTTATCCGGCCACGCCGCTGAGAGCTAAATGCTCGCCGACTGCAAAGTCGCTTAAACGTTTCCGACCGCAAAGTCACTTAAACTTTTTCGACCGAAACGTCGCCTAAACTTCCCCAACCAACAGGTCCAAATCCGCATTACCTTACACTCTCAAAGTCTTATATTTATAAGAACTTCGAGAGTGGGGGGCTGGACTGTACTTATGTACTATTTCCGTTCTACTTTAAGCACAAAGTATTTCCGCACAAAGCATTTTCGTTCTGTTTTCCGTTCTACTTTAAGCACAAAGCACAAATGGCTTATGCTCTTTCGTTTTCGTTTAAACATCATTAATGTTACCCCCAGTCAATCGAGAATCAACCGGGAGATAACCGAGAGAGACAAGTTAACCAAGAAAGACAAATTAGAAGTTAACCTAAGTACAGGTGAATGGTTGAACCTTCATAATTTTCATTTAACAAAAACCAATTGTTTAATCGCTCGGTACAAAAGGACCGAGCTCCTTAACGATCATCAAAAAAGAAGAAATAAGAAAATGCAGCTCATGACTTGGGGGCGGGTGGATTGCCTTCCTTCTCCGGTATGAAGCCTTGGTCTGTTTGTTTCTCCACGTTCGTCTCGAGGGCGTCCGAGGGAGAGGCAGAGTCAGAGAAGGGTGCAGGCCCAGGATCCGGGATGTCGTCCGAGAGGTTCGATAGGATAGTCCGGAGGTCGTCTCCTTCAAAGACTTGCTCCATAACGGTTTGGACTTCTTTTCGCATGGTAGGTTGACCGGACGCGTATGCGCAGCTCCCGAACACCCAGACTAAGTCTTCGCCTAGCTTTTTCTTCATAAATGATCAGAAAAATTGCTCAGCGGAGGTTGAGTCCCGACAAAGGAATGTGGCAAGGCCGTCCATATTATTCAAACAGAGTTTCATCTCTTCTGACTCCTTTCGAGCAATTCGAGCATCCTTCTCGGCCGACGACCGCTCGTCTTTAGTAGTTTGAAGGTCCTTCTTCAGCTTTTCAATTTCTTGGTCGCGACGAGCTACGACCTGTTTGAGGGCTTCAGCTTCGTTGCCAAGTTTGGCTCGATAATGCAGACCGGTAAGTATCCGGGTCAGCTATAAAACTTTAAGTTAGAAGGTGACAAAGTAAAGAAAAGCAAGATATTTGGATAAGACGCATTTACCCGATGACTTGCAAACTGCATCTCTTACTTCAGCTCCAACCGCATCTCTTACTCCAAGTTCTATTATTTAATTGATTTCGAAACCTCTTTTGAAACTTTAGCTCCTACTTCTCTTGAATTGATTTCGAAACCTCTTTTGAATTGAACCTAAGACCTTACGGTTTATACATCAAGCTTTCATCTATCTCGCCTGTACGGATTATTGGTCATTATAGCATATTCCTTGATATACTTCTTTCTTTCCATAGATGCTTGACCTCCAAGGTAACTTCATGCAATCTCGTTTGCTTCTCGTTTCTTCGTATGAGATTATCAGTATGACTTCGTCTTTGATTTGGGGCGTGTGGGCTTATTTAAGTATACATATCATATGCATACATCTCCTTCTTCTTCTTCTTCGTATTTTTCCCTTTCTCTATATTTGTTAATTTTCCTTTCATGGTCTATGACACGCCTAGACTTAACAAATAAAATTGGGGATTCTAAAATGCAATTTGGCATATCAAAATCTATTACAATATATTCCTAACAATTTCCCCCTTTTGATAATGCCAAAACCCTATACTCAGTCATTGGCTTTAAATCTTTTGAAAAAATATTTTTGCTCAATTTTATTTGACAAAGCCGTGATGAGTTTAACAAAAATTTTCTAGGAAAATAAATGACTCGTGAATTAATTTTAGACAAGTTCCTAATACGCATTTGCATATTTAATTCTAATCATTTTTCTCTTTTGTTATGCGTTTTACATGCTTGTCTTTTAATTCACATACTAATTACAAGTTAAGATATCAAAAAGAAATATAGACCGCTTTAGGAAATTAACATAACTTGTATGATCATAATAAGGTAAAATACTTGATAATTTCGAAACAGTAGTTTTACAAAACAAAAGTTTCGAAAATCAGATTACCTCTTTTGCCTCTTATCACTTCTTCCGTTCTTCAGGACATCTTTGATGTGTTCTCTCATCTTGTACACATCATTCTTGATACGTTCACAGAAGAATTCCTTGTTGACTTGTTTGGCGAGGTAATTTTCATAAGCTTCTTTCAGAGTTGTTCCCGATAGAACTCCAGCATCAATCCACTCTATGCATTCATTGAAGCTTCTACCTTGGCCTAGAGAATTTCCTGTGGTTCCAGTGAGATTTTTCAATTCAAACCACATATCCATCTTCTTTCTCTTTCTTTCTTCTTCCTTATTTTTTCATTCACCCAGTGTGCTACTTCAGCTGGGGATTGCTTCTTGATCATGGCAGGTGCGTTTTCTTTGGTCCATATGGTATATGGTATTTCAGATTTGGAGCAATTGAACCAATCTTCCATCTTTCCTTTAGAAGAACCTGCACCTATACCAGAATTAGCAAATTGAGCAAAACCCAAACCACCTGGAGATGCTTGACGTCCACGGCCTCAGCTTCGGCCACTTGGTGGTGTAGTTTGTGGTTGCCCAAAATATTCTTGTTGTTGAGCCTCCATATGACTGAGATATTCTTCCCCCCTTTTGGCTTTATCAGCAACAAAATTAAGAACACGGGTATCTCAGTCTTGGTTGGCTTTCACAATCTTGATTCCTTCATTGGCTTTGTCAGAAGTATTCTGCAAAGTTTCGAACTTCCGAGTCATAGAGGATAACTCAACTTCAAGTTGATTGATTCTTCGTTCTTGATCTTGTATGGCCTTCAGTTGCCTCATATGTCGTTCATAATTGATCTTCTCAGCATCCTCCTTTTCTTTCTTCCAATTTTTGATCACTTCAACCAAACTGGCAGTGATGTCAGCCTTCAAATGGCCTTCTGTTCTTTCGATCTTGGACTCCAAAGATATGTGCTTTTCAAAAATTTGCGTGAAATTTGACCTTGTGTTTTCAAATTCTTGCATCGCTAAATGTCGTTAATCTCTCAAAGTAGTTCTGATCTTGTGGCAAATTGTATCTCCAGATTCGGATACTTTGGCAAACAAAATTGTCAAAATGTCATCTTCATCTTCTTCAGGCCGGTGGTGTGTCGTCCAGTTTAGATTCTGCAGGGATCTGAGAAACTTTCTTCTTGAATCTGCTAGAACTGGAGTTTCCACAAGTTGTAAGCTTCTTCCTTCAGATGATTCGGCCATAGTAGTATTTTCTTGACAGCTGGCTTCTTTGTCACGAGTTTCTCCATCTGTATTGACTTCCTCTTCCCCTTGATAATTGTCAATATCTTGAGAGAAACTTGGATTTGAGAGAATAGGCTGCTCAGACAATGGTCTATCTTCTAGTGGGGATTGGAAGTTTGTAGTAGCTTTGACAAAGATATTTTGTACTGCAACTTCAATTAATTGTCCCCCCCCCCCCCCAATTAATTATCTATTCTCATTCAAAACTTCTTCTCTTACTTGTTCTCCAATCTCTTCTCTGATCTCATCTCCAACATCTTCTCTGACCGTGTCAACATCATCTTTGGCAGA